CTGTCACATCTGTGAGGACACGGCCGAGGACACCCCCGCTGTGGGCGCACATCTGCACACTGCCATTGAGCCGCCCGCAGCTGCTGGCGCTGGCGTCACCGACACCGTCACCCTCGAAGGGCGCCCACTTCCCGCAGCCACTAACGGCTGCTTGGCCTTTCCGCTGGCATTTGCGTTTTTGCAACATTGGCACAAACACTCCACTTACACAAAGAAATCGCATAAGCTGCTGGAGGCCTGGCAGGCACGTACCCGGAACTGGGAAGCAAGGACCTTGGGTATCTGCATACAAGTGACATAACTGTATGTGAAAGATTTTTACCGTCTCACTATAGTAAGGTTTGGTCTGAGCACTCACCCCAGTGTTTACAATAAAATGGTTACTGTGTAGCAGTTATGTATATAAACACTTAAAGCAATTCAGTGTTTCCCTAAGCCTAAGTATAAACAAGGTCTTCCCTTCCTGTTTCTCAAACAGTCCTGTGACAGCTTTAGTTTATTTGCTGGGGGTTTTATGCATTACAACAAACATCTACATATTGACAATTTCTCAAATAGCAGAGTCAAGACTGAAGGAAGTAAAAATGCAGTTGTCTCCATTGCATAAAATGCATGGTGAACAATTTACTGTAACACCTCAATTATAAAGAATCCTGCAGTCCCAGATCTGTGTATAAACTATAATCCTCTTTTTTAAAGATAAAATGTGACAAAGATGATGACAGTTCATCTGTTCTGTAACTTGAGCAGCCTTTTGACATGCTGTCATGCTAAAACCTGCCTCAGTAGCCTGGATTGGTGTGCATTGGTGAATGTGGGGAGAAAACTTGGGTCTGTCTGTGTTCTGTTCAAACTATAACTCTGTTTGCAGGGTGAGTAAACCAAGCACACCATACACTGGGCTGCAGCTTCATGTGTGGGCCTGAGATAGATTAGTTGCAGCCTCTTGTGGGAGGCCCAAAAAGGCAAATAGATATTGTTGTCTCCACGGGATTGTGCTGCCTTTATAATTCTAAAGGTATGCTGCAGTGAGGTACAGGCAGCTTATCTAATTCATCTTATGCATGATGCACCTTTTACCAGTGTGGATGCAGAATGCCAGCTCGGAAAGCAAGGCAGGCTTTAGCCAGCCTCACCTGCTCTCCTCAGGTACAAACATACAGAGGTGCCCTGAAAGAATCACAGGGAAAAAAGTCAATGCATTTCTCAGATGGAGTGTGTTTCTCTATTCAGAAAGGCAGTGGCGTAGCACTCTTCAGAATGCAATTGAGAAAAGCACTCGACAATTTTTGTCCTTCAGGCAAATCCTTTAATTGTCTAAACAGTCAACAGAAAAGTACCAACTATTAAACTGAAAGGGAGAAAGTATCTTACAGCTACAGCACAGAAGGAAAAAAGCAGGTATCATCCAGTTGCATCACAGAACTTTTCACCTGATGCTCGCTTAGTCCCTTACTTAAAACCAGCAGTTCTGCTCTATGGAGCACTGTAAGACACTCAGTCAAAGCCCCTGGTCGGTAAGCTTTGGAACAATACCGATAAAATTAGTACTTGGGAAGAGACACTATAGCAAATTAGTTTTGTACTAATTCTCCCTTCTGTGATGACATAAGGAAACCTTGCTTGAGTGAAGTATGTTTTAATCTACTATATTTAAGCAAACAGAGAATCCAATTGTAAATCACAATTCAAGTGTCAGAGATTCATGAGGAGTTTTTAGGAGGACTTTAATCACCTTCATCAATACTGTTGGTGAAAATACCTGCTACTATCATTTGCTGGAGCTAGTTAGCCCTCATCCATTTTTTTGTGTTAGGATAAGGATACCTGGACATAATAGCCTCAAATGGAGAAAAAAATACACAACTCTGAAAAAAGACTGGTACATTATTATGATATTTTTAATACACAAAGGAATACTAACAATACAATGAGTAAGTTTATATTTTTAAACCAAAAAGGCCAGGGATATTTAGGTATCTCCTCAAGATTCTTTTAGGTCACATCACTACTGAAAGGTTGCTTGTACCCTGAAAATATCTGATATTCTTGATATTCTGCTTCCATCATCCTTATATAGTGTTCTTTTAATGTAAGGTTATGTTTTGTTATCTACTGCTTATGGTACCTTCCTTCACAGGTGATAATGCTGAGGATTTTTTTTTTAAAAAGAAAAACTTAATTTAGTTGTCAGTCCTAATACTTACAGGCACTTTCTTATTTACATAGCCATGACTGAGTAATAGTTCCAGTGGGTGTTTGTATAACTAGTTGCAGAATTTGGCTCTCAGATGTCCCTATAGAAAGGAACAGTATTTCAATAGTACACTCCACAAAGGTCAATGAAATATGTCACACAGTATAAATAATGCTCACCTCCCAATGTTGTTTTTTAGGACATAGTGTCTTAAAACATATCCTTATTTGGTTTTGCTAAGGCCAGTCCCTAATGAATAATTAACATCAAAATATTAAAACTTGACATAAGTAAAAATTGAAAATATTTTTCACTGACATTCTAGCTGCTGCAGCAATGTTTAATGAAGTTGCTTTTTTTCAAGTATGCAAAGAGATCAGCTCTTTCATTCTGCTTTTTAATTCCAGCAAAAATAATTTTTGTACCAGGAATGTATTTCTTGGGGTTTTCGAAATACTCCATCAGTGTATTCTCACTCCAGGCAACTCCTGGAAAAGAAAAAAAGGTAGTAAAATACAAGGCTGGCCCAAGATCACATATTTATGAAAATATCAATGGTCTCAAATCAAAGGTGTGATGCTCCTGAACATAATGTGCCTAGAAACCAAGAGGAATGTGAGCAGAAATGGTACATAGTATAAAATGCACAGGGTATGCATTGTCTTTGTGTCACTTCAGTAAGTCCAATATAAATCCTTTTTGCGTCGTGGAGAGTTGCATTTCTTTGCACTAATTCACATACAACTACTTATTGCTTTTAAACAATAAGTATATTTTTTAATTCCAGTATCCAGAAGATCCAACTTTACTTTCACAGTTGTTGGAAATGAGCATCTACAGATTGACATGAAATTCATCAAGGCTGTGCTCCATTGAAGGACATTAGAAAATGGGTTTTCAGTGGCCAGTTCCTGGAATCTCTTGACAGAAGTTGAAAACCCATTAGTGTTTCCTCCCAGCCCCACTAAAACCTGTCTCTGTCAGAAGCCTGGTGTTGTACTGAAAACTACTGAAATACCTAGAACAACATGTTTGAGTTTCTCTTCTTTCCCCCAGAGCTGACTCTCCCCATTGTCTAAAGTCAATTTAGATATCACTTTGTTGGCTTTCTTTTAAAAACTTGAACTAACATCTGTATAATTTGGTCACAAAATTTTTAATGAGAAAAAATAATATATGCTGACATGGATTTGTATGAAGGAAGTCACAGTATGAAGTGAATGCCACAAAACATTTCCTAGAAATCACAGAAAAATAAAGAAATCAGCCAATTCTAAGGCACCTTAGTAACAACAACAACAACAACAAAAAAAGCCAGGACTGTATTTGTAATTAATAGCTTGAGTCAAATAATATAACTGATATTCAAATAATATAAATAAAAACAATGAAACCCACATAGCATTACTTTCCATTTTTAGATGTTCCACTGCTTTTCAAAACTATCTGTATGAAAAACGCAAGACAAATCATAGGTTACTAGTAGGTGACAGCATTTACTTGTGTTCTGAGCAAAACAACTGCAGCACACTACGATGCCAGTAGAGGGTAGTGACCAGCAAACAAAATCTAAAAGCACTGTTTAGAAACAGGAATTAAAATCTGCCCATTAATACTACAAAGTTCTGGGAAAGCTATACACCTTCTGACCCGGTGTGATGAATATTGGTGAAATATCTTTTTAATATAGGGACTGAGAATTTTTGTTTCTGAAACTATGGTTCTGATTCATCTGCAGTAATTCAAAGTAGACAGTTGTGAGAGTTACTCCTTGTGAGTAATGCTTTCTATTGTACCTCTAAAGAAAAAGGGTTTTTTCATATATGTCCCCTCCAACACTGCACCTCATCCATGTCACCTGTTAGTTTTACCCTTGTTCTTGTTTCCATCTGAGTAAGAAAATCCTGCAGCTTGTCCTGCTCTGTGGTCAAATAAACCCCAAAGATTCGATCCTGTCTTATGCTTTCCATCTTTTTCAACTGTGTGGCACTGAGAACATTTCTGAATAAAGATCTTCCTGCCTTTTTCAATATCACACATTTTGATCTATGTAAAAAATAAAAATTAAAAAAAAGGAAATTTGAACAATATTACAGAAAAGTTCAATGTTGTTGGTCACATTTATCATCTCCTTCTGCAGTTTTATAAAACATTTCTGTCTTGCACAGTATTAAAAAATAATGTGTCTCAAAGTAATGAAAATTTGACCCAGACTTAGTTTAAAGGTAAGTTTGGGTAAGTCTCTGTTAAGCTGCACAATTTTTTAACATGATCTGGTTGCTGATGGCCATGAATTATTTTTTTTTTAAGTTATACAATTTACAATTAGGAAAAAGCACCACGGTTTGGGTTTTTTTTTTTCTGAATGTCTCAGAGGTGCAGGATTACAGAATTTGTTATTCTTATCTTTGGAGGTTAAGGTAGCTTTAAGTTCCTTGATCGCTCTTCTAGAGCTACTTCTATGGCAAGGGTAAAGGTCAACGTACTTTTGTCTAGAAGCCTGATCTAGAACACAGTGGCACCTCAGGATTTCTCTGTGGGTTGCAGTGCTACCTAGAACACCTCCAGAACTGTAGAATTCAACTCCTCCTCCAGTGCCTGCCAGGACACCTTCGTGGTAAGGGGGATCTCCAGAGGCAGCGGCCTGGACAGAGGGGAAAGGTGCCTGCAAGGTAGCCCTTGGGCCCATGTCTGCCAGGGAACAAAGGACAGTCGAGCACCTTTTGGCCCTTGGAAGGTGCGAGAGGCAAGGCTGTGCCGGTGACACCCCTGCTCTCCACCCGTCAAAGCGCAGGTGTCGTCAAAGCGACGTCCAATTGTGGAGAGCACAACTTGGCATGTTACCTTCTGCTTGGTGCATCACAGGCCCACGGGTCAGGGTTAAGCATTGTGCCCTTCTTTCTGGTGGGAGTGGGAGGTGGTGGGTGTCGCATGCTGCACTAATGGTCCCAACGGCCGGGGTGGGGGGTGATGACGACACGGACACAGGACAGTGTCATGGCACTCCAGGCAGTGCCACCCTCCCCTCTGCGGGCACCTTCCCCACACCAACACGTTTGCTTTTCAATCCAAGTGGCATTGTGGGCCTGTCATGGCAGTGCCAGGAAAAAAAAGTGTCAGGACTTGGGCAAAAAATGAGTGCAGAGTTTGATGCTGGAAGGGACGTTGCCTTCCAGCCCTAAAACACTGCTCCTGATGGGTTGAGTTGTAACCTTTCTCTAAAGCCTTCCCACTTAAGCAAAGAAAGAGCTTACTAGATTTTCTGAAAAATTCCTTTACATGGAACCAAACCCAACCACTATAATCAAAGTATGTTCCTCTGAAAATACTCATTAGCCTTGTACATTGCAGTCCCAAAACTGGGCACCATTTAACCCCCACAAACACACTGCTTCCAAGGCCACTGCCAGGACTGTGCAGTGCTCAAAATAATGCCTCCTCCAGGTCTTCAGATTACCAGACCTTGCCTCCACAGAACTTTGCTGATGTGAACTTGACAACTGCATCTGTGTGTGTGAAAGAGTGGGGGGATTTCTGCATATTTAATTGGCCTATTGAAAATAATAGAAAGAATGTGCGCATCCTGATCCCCCGATTTCTTCATTTAAGCCCATTTTGCACCAGGAGGTGTTGGTCCATTATGATCCCAGTAAGAATGACGCTTAAACTCTGCAAAGCATCATCTGCAGTGCTATTTGTTTACAATGCTAACAGAAGAGAATAGCATAGATGATCTCATGTCCCTTGAGATGGTGGCAGGCGGTGTAGCATTGAGTGGGCCACTGGCCCACACACAGTATGCTGTGCAAACCTCCTCCATAGCAGAGATTCTTCCCTTTCGGTCTTTCAAGCTTTTATAAATTTTTCTTACAAGGAAACAACTCTATCATTTGTACAGTCAAAGCATAAATTATACTCTCATGAGACCTTCTTGCTGTGCTGTTAAAGGCAAGGCTGGGCAGAAGGAGTAATCATGAGTACCAAGCAGGAGCTGCCCACAGGCTCCTCTGTAATGACGAGCTGCCTGAGTTTATCCCATGGCCGAGGGATGCCACACGGCACAGCTCGGCACAGCCCCAACCTGCTCCTGGCCAAGGTAACAGCACTGTGGATCACTGACCCCTCACTGTGCAGTGGCCAGGGCCACTACAACCCCAGGGCACCGACAGCTTTGGTATTCAGCTTAGGAATTCTTTATTTTTGAATCCAACTATTAAAGATGTGATGAACTTTATAATAACATTGCATTCTTCACATTTTATTAGTTGTGTGCTTATTTTCCTACAGATAGTTATTTTTCCTGGATATTTTTTGTGTTTGTTTCCCATGAAATACATCGAGTTCCTGGGCCCTCTGTATCCTGAGAGCTCACACGGTGCATGTTAAGCCCCACTGTTGTCTGTATCAGCAAAGGCCTTGGAAATGGTCTCTTCATGGAGGAACTCTATGACACTAGTGCTGTTTCAAAGGAAGTGGGTCACCATATAGTGTAGTGAGTTTCTGGTTGAAGGAAGCCCTTTAAAAATCAATAAATTATTGCAGCAGAAATGAGAATGTTAGTGAAATACTGACATGGGGTACAAAACTGGGAGGAGTAGTCGATCACAGAGGGTCATGCTGCCATCCAGATGGACCCAACAGACTGGAGAATGGTCTGACAGGAGCATCAAAATGTTCAAAAAGAGGAATGGCAGAGTCCTGCGCTTGGAGAGGAACAACCCTACTTGTACATGCAGGGGGGCAACTGGCTGAAAGCAGCTTTGCTGAAAAGGACTTGGGCATTGTGGTGGACACCAAGGTGAACACGAACCAGCAATGTGTCCTTGGGGCAAAAAGGCTACTGGAATCCTGAGGTACGTTAGTAGGAGTGTCACCAGCAGGACAAGGAAGATGACCCTCCCTCTCCACACAGGACTGGCGAGGCCACACCAGGAGTACCGTGTCCAGCTCTGGCTTCCCCAGTATGAGAGACATGGACATACTGGAGAGAGTCCAGTGAAGGACCACAAAGATGATTAAGGGACTGGAGCATCTCTCCTATGAGGAAAGGCTGAGAGCTGTGACTGTTTAGCACAGACGAGAAGGCTCAGGGTGTATAAACAGCTGAAGGGATGGAATGAAGAAAATGGATCCAGACTCTTCTCAGTGGTGCCCAGTGACAGGATCGGAGGCAATGGGCACAAACTGACACACAAGAGGTTCCCTCTGAACATCAGGAAACACTTTTTTAGGGTGAGGGTGACTGAGCACTGGCACAGGTTGCCCAGAGGGGTTGTGATCTTGCAGACATTCGAAGCCATCCGGACGCGCCCGGGACAGCCGGCTCTCGGCGGCCCTAGCCGCGCAGGCGGTTGGCCCCGCTGACCTCCGGAGGTTCCTCCCGTTCGGTGTCTCTGTGACATCGCCCTCGGCCGGGCGCTGCCAAGGGAGAGCGGGAGCCCGGGAGCGCCTCTCCTCGGCACCACCCTCGGTTCGCTTCTGCTTAGTCCTTCCC